ACGCTCCTGGAGTCTCCCAGGGTGGTTCCATCCGGACGAGGAAGCCCGTCCCAGGAAGCGCAGGAGGTGCTTGCCCGGGATGTGTCTGGATGGGGTGGGTTCTTCAGCGCTTGTTTCCTAATGGCTCTTAGGCTCAGGTGTGCTGTGTGCAGCTGTATGACATCGAACTCATCCCTTCGTCTCTGTGCCCCGGTTTCCTCCCCTGTGAAATGGGGACAGTAGTTCTCCCCAGGGTTGACGGGATGCTCAGGGCTCGTGTGTGTAAGTGCTTTTCCTGGCACCCGGTGCACAGTCAGCCTCGTGTTGGGGGCTGGGGGGGGCACAGAGTAGTCACAGAGATTTGTGCGCTGTTGACTTTCTTCCCTCCTTCCTTCCTTTCTACTGAAGTCTAGTCAGTGCACAATGTTGCATCCATTTCTGGTGCACACCTCACGTTTCCACCATCCGCATACATAGCACATTCATTTTCATTCTCTCTTTCATTACAGTTACCGCAAGATGTTGAATACAGTTGTCTGCTCCTGACGTTCAGACACACTTGCAGGGCCTCGTCGTTGTATGAGGAGGGGCTCCTGAGAGATACTGGGGCAGGAGGAGGGTCACCCGATGGTGCAAGGTGGGGTGGGCAGGAGAGTGGCCTTAAACACCCGCCCCGAGCTCCCCCCCCACTGCGCAGTCTTCACTCCAGCCGGAAGTAGTGGTTCACCGTGGCTGCAGCGTGGTTGCAGCTGAGCACCACAACAGAGGGCTCACACGGACGCTTCTGGAAAGCAGGAGAAAGCTTCCTCAAAGGCTTCCACATCCTAATCCCCTGAACCGGTGACTGATTTCACAGGAGGAGGGAAGCGATTCAGTCAGGGACCTCGAGACGGGTGGTGACCCTGGGGGACCTGGCTGGCCCCGTGTCATCATAGGGGTCCCTGTGAGGGGAGGGGGAGGGGCAGAGCCGGAGAGAAGGAGATGCTGGAGGGGTGCTTTTGTGAAGACGGAGGAGGCCACGAGCCAAGCAGCCCAGCCCTGCTCTCCTCTCCCGACCTCCTGCCTCCCCCGTAAGGACCCACGTTGCTTAGCAACGGGAAAACCTGGGGGGCTACCTCTGCAGCATCCCTCTTGCTGTGTCCACTCGGGGCTGGGCTGAGCTTTCTGTGCTGCTGCCCACCGTGGGGCAGGACGGACAGCCGTGCCGACACAGGTTGTCTCCCAAGTCTGGGTCCTCTTCAAAGCCCTTCTGACCAGCAGTTGAAAACCGGGCCTGGAAATTCAGGACGTGGCATGGTGCTGCGTCTTACGTTGAGTCATCTGCGTTTGCCGTGTGGGGGCAGGAGTATGTTGGTAGAATAAAAAACAGCTGAGTATCAGCAATCTCGGGGTTGGACTTGATACTAAAAGAGATGAATCCTTATCTGTTAGAAGTGTCTGCTGACCCATGGCAGGTGAAACTGTGTATAATTTGTAGAATTGGCTCTGGCTGGAGGACAGACACGCTGAGACCGGGCTGGGGACGGACCCATGGGTTCACTGCGCCATCTTCTCTACTTCTGAGTGTGTCTGGAAATTTTGACAGAGAGGACTAGAAGGGAAACATGCAGACCCGGGTAGAGATGGTGGCTCCCCCGCCTCCCGCTCTGGTTCCCGCTGGGCAGGGCCGTCGCCAGGTCACTGTGCAGAGGGCATGGCATCCACCCGGAGCAGGGGGCACGGCCGGCCCGCCAGCCCCAGGGCTCCTGGCCACGCTCCGCCCCATCTGCCCCAAGGCTCCAGGCCGGCCACGTGGCTTCCACAGCTCCAATGTCATCACCTAGGTGACCGGGACGCTGCTTCCACTGCCTGCTTGCCCAGCCACGAGCTGAGGGCTTCCCGGCTGCCTCTCCACACACAGACCCTCCGGCGTCCAGGCTCCACCAAGGTAGGCTTAGAGTCTGGCTGGCCCTCCTCTTCCAGGAGCCACTGGGGGCTCCTCGGGGCCACCCTGGGGTTCAGCAGCTTCTCCCCACTGGCTTCCCCCAGGCACTTGGAAACAGGCTGCCCGGGGGACACGGGTGGCAGACAGGCCAGCGTTGTGGGGCCGTGCTCGAAGTTCCCTTACTGGGACTTGAGCTGTGCATGGCCATCTGCCCCCAGGGGTGGCGGGGCAACTTTATAACCCAGGGCCAGGGGTAGATGGGTGGGGGACAGAAGTCACTCTGGTGCCGCCACCTCCAGCCCTTGGACCCGCAGGAATTCTCTTCACTTCCTGCCAAGGAGACCCTTGCCCACAGAGGATCACCGTGCCCCAGCCCCATGGGGCCAGCCCTGAAGGGGCTTTCCCGGCTCCCTCACACATCTAAGTTCCCAGAGTCTGCCCTGGCCACTCCCGCCCTCACTCTGCTGGGTCGGTTCCCTGTGCTGCCCACACGCTGGTCTCCCGGGGCCGGGGAGCCTCCAGGGCCTCGGACTCGAACGGAGGGGCCAGTGTGGGGTATGCACTGTGATGAGGGAATGTGTGCGTATGCAGGTGCGTATGCATGTGAGTATATGTGTGTATTCACCGTGCAGGTGTGTGTGCATGCAGACGTGTGTGCATGTGTGCATGCGTGTGCATGTGTGCGTGACTTTGATGGTGCTGACGGGAGTGGGGTGAGCAGGGGCTGGCTCTCCTCCCCGCACACTCCTGCCGGGAAGCAGCACCTCTGGAGTTTGAGTCGAAGGAGGGGTGAGTGTTTGACAGAGACACAACCACTGGCAGATTACAAGCCGCCCCAGTGGTCAGACAGGAGCTGATTTTCACCCCTGAGCGGCCCAGGGAATCCTGCTAGATGCTTTTGCGTAAATCAACCCTGCATGGTGGGTGTGACTTCCCCAATTCTACAGATGAGAAAACAGAGGCCCTGAATGTGCGCACAGCTGGTACGTGGTGGGAGGCCCCTGAATCTGCAGCTGGTTGAAGGACTCAAAAGCACATTAACTGGATGTGGGTCAGCTTAGAAGGGGTTCTGGGGCAGGACAGGTGTCCTCATCCCTTCCTGTCCCTTCCTGTGTCCCCTTGGTTTATGCCCCCACCTCGCCTGGACCCAGCCAAGACTGCCCCACTGACCACCAGCCTCTGGGTTCGCCCACCCCACAATTTGCCCCCCAGGATGACCTTCCCCACCAGAATCCCACTGCATCCCTCTGGGAGCTGAACCCTGTCCTCAACCCCCAAGGCCCATGGAGGCAGGTCCAGAGCCCTTCCTGTGGCCGAGACCTCTGGGCACCCTGTCCACTCTGCAGCCCTCCTTGCTCTTCCCACCTCCCCAGACCCGAAGGGCCAGCAGGATCCTCCTTGGCCGCGCTCCGTGCCATCGGTGCCCCTCTGGGAGGGAGGAGGATGGGACCCTCTCCATTAGCTTGCAAGACCCGAAAATGGCAACTCACTGTGGGCCTTCATTTACCCTTGGGCTGACCCTGGTCCTGTCCACACCCCTTCAGGGCACCCTTCACACTGGGCAGGGGAAAAGGCTGGCTCTCTTGTCTGTCCCCCAAGAGGGAGTCCCCCTGGAGGGCGGGGTGCCTGATGGGAAGGGGTTAGCTGGATGCTAACCAGATTTAGGCTCAAACCCAGCCTTGGCCCTTCTGGGCTGTGTGGCCTGGGCAAGCGGCCCGCTCCCTCTGTGCTTCTGTAAGAACCCCGGGAAGGTAGGGGCACAGCCGTGCCTCCCTCCTGGGCTACTCTGAAGACTGGATCAAGAGAGGGTTCCAGGCTGGGTTGACTCCGAGGGTTCCAGGCTGGGTTGACTCCGAGTGAGCACAGGGTAGGTGTCGGCCATCATTATCAGAAGGAGAACCCCAGGGCTGGGGAGGGAAGGTGGGGGCAGGAAGAGGCAGGTGGGGCAGAGGCAGCTCTTGAAAGGCAGCTCTGAGGAACACTGAAGGATGTTTCTGGAATGAGTAAGGGGTGGATGGACCAATGTCAGGACAACATGGATGAAGTCACATCCGATGTCAGCTGACTTCAGAGCCGGACTGGAACGTAACTCATGAGTCAGACAGAGCGCTCGGGGGCGGGGGGCACTGCTGCCTCCACCGCGGGGGACGAGGTCAGGGAGCCGAGTGCGGATGGCGGCGGGGGGGGCGAGGGTGGGGAGCTGAGTGGGGATGGGTAGAGAGTCAGGAAATTAGCATATCCTGGGCTCACAGTGCAGAGCCCAGAGGGGAGAAGTCAGGAGGCTGCAAAGGAGGGGCACTCAGCTGAGTGGGTGCCCTTCAAGGAAGGTGGAGGAGTCTGGAGCGGGGCGGCCAGGTGGGAATGAAGCTTTGGGAACAGCCGTGCGTGGCAGGGTTGCAGGAGCAGATTCTTGTCGGGGGAAGAGGTTCTGGAGGACAGAGCAGGGCGCCCTGGCATGTAGAGGTGTGACCCCAGGAGGGAGGGGTTGGAGGAGACAGATGGAAAGGATGGGGGGTGCCTGGCAGCCTGGTGGGCAAGAGGGTGGCATCCTGTTGGGGTGAGGCTAGCAGCCCCGGTGCCCAGTGAGGTTCCACAGTGGTCCCCTGCCAGGTGGTTCCCCACGGCAGAGGCTCCTCCAGCGAAGATGGCTGTTTGCCCCTAAGGGATACCTGTACCTGTGCCAGTCACCTGCTCATACGGGTATCAACTGCCACCTGCACTGTGCCAGGGACTCTTGGCCCGGGGGATACAGCAGTGACCCCAGCCTTGGGGACCCTGACTCGTGGAGTGAGACGACAGGAAGCATCCAGGGCTGATGAGGGCTTCCACGGGTTTCTCTGGTGATGGGAGCTGATCCCACACATGCTGCAGGTGACAAGGCAGTGCACTGCTGGGGAATCAGGGAAGGGGGTGCGGCTATAAACCGGGCAGCGCTGGAGCCAGCCCGCTGGCTTCAGGCACAGGGGCCAAACCAGCCTGGTGCTCCCTCGGCAGAAGGGCCAGTGCACAAGCAGGTGAGAAGCTGGAGGTGTGGTGGGGGTGGGGGTAGGGTGGGTGGGTCCTGGGGCTTCACGGGCCAGGAAAGCTTGTTCGTCAGACACTGGAGGGTCCAGGGTCAGATGAGGCAGAAGCAGGGAGAGCCGCTGAGAGGCGGCTGTACTTACCAGGAACAGGGTGCAGGAGGGAGTCGAGGGACTCGGGCACTGGGGTGGCCCCGTGGCTGGGAGCACCGGATTCCAGATCCCTGTGGAGGCGGGGTTGGAGGTAGGCAGTGAGACGGAGGGGTCCAGGATGCGCCCAGCAACCGTCCACTCCCTGCCATGCTCAGCTGTCAAGTGGAACGAGTCAGGGCTGAAGGCTCACACAGCTGCTCTGCCCCCAAGCTTCTCCATCACCAGCCTCCTGAGTCTCCCAGCTCTGCAGCTGCCCCTCCTCCGGGGGCCCCATCCTACCCCATGCTGGCCTGAACCTCCCTCAAGTCTGCTCCCACTCCCCAGCCTGGCCCCCTGTCTGGGTGCTGTCGTGGAAGCCCCGTCCCACCAGGTGGCACAGGTGGGCTCAGGGCGCATCACATCTCCAAGCTGAGGGCTGCCATGCCAGCCAGCCTTGACCTGTCCCTGCACTGCCCCCTCCTTACACCTAGGACCCCCCCATCAGTGTCACCCCCTACCCTGCTCCCTTCTTAGAGAAAGTTTACCCCCCATCAGACCTCTTGTGCCTCTGACTGCCCCCTCCCCCCACCTACAAACTCACCTGACGCCCCGCTTTCTCCACGCTGGGCAGGGACGGAGGGCTGAGGCTTCTCCTCCACTTGGCCTCTGCTCCTAGGGTCCAGACTTTGAAGTCCAAGCAGGAATCAATTATGTTGCCCCCAGCGGGGAGTGTGCCAGGCAGTGCCCGGCTGCAGAGCAGAAAACCAAGGGACAGGAGCCGTGTGTCCTGGTGGGACCTGCACACGTAGGGAGCGGAGGCTGGGACTGGGGGGGCGCCATGGGCAGGTCAGCAGAGGGCAGGGTGGGCCCCGGATGTGGGTGGGGCCTCTATGTGCAGGTGAAGAAAGACGGTGGACCAGGGACTTCCCAGCAGAATGCGGGTGGGGCTGTGTGGGTGGGAACGCAGGCTGGGGAGGGGCTGTGGCCCTTGGGGCTCACCTCCTGGAAGGAGGGGTCAAGTAGAGGGCAGGGTCAGGAGCAAGGGCACAGGTCCCCGCCGGCCGGGCCGGGCTCCCCGCTCCGACGGCCGTGTCTCCGGGCATGTGACCTGACCTCTGTGTGCATGTTTCTGTGGTCGGCACAGCCAGAGGCCCTGTGCGCCGCCCCGCTGTGATGTCACCAGGCTTTGGTGTTTCTGTGTTTCGTCTGGCTGCACATGTTCCTCCACCAGGGAGCTGGTGGGTGGCAGCCCTCTCCGGCAGGGCGGTGGGGCGTGCGCTGGTGGGTCCCCCACACTCCTAGCAAAGGTCTGGGTCAACCAGGAGCCTGGCCGCCCTGGAGGATTTGGTCAGCCATTTCCTTCCAGAAGGGCGTGAAGCCCACGTGGTCAGAGAGCCACCACCCAGCTCCCTGCCTCACGTGGGTGCTAAGCCAACCGTTAGATTCAAACAGAAACTGCCGGGCAACCCCGCTGTGCTCCGGACGGGGCCCAGGTGCCGGAGGGGAGCCGTTCCTTCCCTGGGCCGGGCTGCAGGAGGAGGCTGATTGTGGGGGACCGAGGCTGGCGGCCGGGTAAGAGGCTGGTGGGGTGCGAGGCCTCAGGGATGGGGGGATTCCTGGGGCCGCTCCCAGAGCCCGCCTCCCCCGCCTTCCCGTGGGCCCCGGCCCAGGAGGGACAGAGGGCAGCTTAATCGGGCACCTCCAGCTGTTTTCGTGTTTCACAAGTGCACCCTGCCCCAGGGTGGGGAGGCTAAATTTGTCTCTCATCATCAGTGCTAGTCTCCCTGCGTGGGCAGAGGGGCGGCAGGGACCCCACCCCAGGGTGACTGAGGCCTCAGCCATGCTTGCCTCCAGGCCCTGCAGGCCCAGTCTTTCCACAGATGGTCCCGGTGCAGCCCTAGCCGGCCCTGGCCGAGGGTCCTATCCTGACCCCACCCCACCCCCCACTCGGCAGCGGGGACAGAGGCTGCCCAGGCTCCTGCGGCCACGTGGCCGGGCGCAGGCAGGAGGGGCCGCAAAGATGGCCGCTGCCCTTGCTCCCTGAAGCGGATGCACTCCTGACTGTCATTCTAGGCTTGACCCCTGCCCTGGCCTGGCCCCTCCTCCGGGCTGAGGGCAGCCCCTTCTAGTGGGTGGCTGGGGCCACAGAGGCCCCTCAGCTCTGAGGGCCTAGGAGGCTGGGCACCGAGTGTCCTGCTGGAATTAGGCTGGGCCACTGCCGGGGGACAGCGCCATTTCACAGCCGGGCCGCCTGACCCCTCCACCCAGGTAGGGGGACCTCTGGGCACCGGGACGTTCTGCAGTCCCCTCGAGACGAGGCCACAGGGTGATCAGAAGGGGTCCAGGAAGGCTGTCAGGGTCCCTCCTACGATGGTGAAGTTTTATGTGCCCCTCAGATTTCAGTCTGTCTTCGTTTACTGGAGTAACCAGGGGAGGAGACACTGGAATAACCCGCATGGGACAGAGGACAATCGAGACGGAGTTTCTTGGGGTGGGGCTCTTGGGGCCTCTCCTCGCTGAACTGTGGAGCCGTGGCCCCTCCCCAGAGTCGGTGTCCAGATGGCCGTGGGGGAGGGGCGTGTGCCGGGAGCTGTCCCCCCCACGCTCAGGCCAGACGTCCATGCTCTCCATCAGGGCTCATGCAGGTGGGCTGGGGCCGTCTCCGTGGATGGGGGAGTCACAGGGGCCTCAGTTTACAAGAGGTGATTTCAGACCCCTGGGCAGGGGCAGATGGAGGAAACGGGGAAGCAGGCGGCATCGATACCCTCCGGGCCGATGAGGCTGTCCGAGGGGCCACACAGCTGCCGGCTCTCTGTGCTCTGCCACCTGCCCGGTGCTGAGGGGCGGCCTGATCCGCAGTCAGGGAGGACAGCGGTTTCCTGGAGGAGGCAGAGCCTGGCCTGGCTTGGCAGGATGAGGGTGGGATGGGGGGTGGACGGTGGACCCAAGTTGAGTCTGGAGGCAGCCCCCGTTGGGGTGCATGGGAACAGGGCAGGTGGCAGGGAGGGGACATGTGCGAAGAGGACGGGGGTGCAGGGGAGGTGGGGGCTCTTGCTGGGACCTGTGGGAGGCAAGGTCAGGGGCTTTAGCCGAGCTCTGGGAAAGAAGGCCTGCAGCCCCTCGGGGCCTCCGGCCCCCACCAGCCTGCGCAGGACGGGGTGGGGCCTTCAGCTGGCCTGGCTGTGGCTCGAGTCCCAGCCAGGTCCCTTGGTAGCTCAGGACAAGCTTCCTGGGCCTCTGAGCGCCTGCTCATCCCTGCCCCAGGGTGGTTGTCACTGCTTGACGGGTCAGTATGACAG